TGTGGGCATTAGGGAGATCAGAACTCTCACAATGGACATGGAAACTGAAACCCTTTACTTCATGACTGGGTTCATAATTACATCATAATTTGTTTATTTTTATTACAACAGCTGGAATGACTTATAACATTTCTTGTCTGGCTTGTTTGTAAAGATAATGCTGGATTAACTGCCCTGAAAAGTGAAGTCCTCTATTTATCATCAGAACAAGGGTGCCAATGTGTAGCAGGCAGTGTCACCTCACATATGAATCTGAACTCTAATATGCAGTTCACCCTCTGTGTCCTTTTTATTTCTGGACTCTCTGACAGGTTTTCTAACCATAATGGTATAACATACAGTGTGCGCAGGTAGAATTTTTTCCCTTGAAGGCAGTATCTCAAGAAACACAGCATACCAGGACAGTGGTGGGGAAGCTTTTTTCTGCTTAAGGACTGAGACCATTAATTTTCAAAAGAAAATGAAATAATCTCCAGGTTGTGACAAGTTTAAAATCTCTCTACCAACCCCTTGAGCCAGGCAGGTTCCCTTATCAGGAACATTTTCTGTATAAAACTGGAACCTACATCAAAAGAAAATCCAAATGACTCAAAGTCAAGTGAAGCTTTTTGTTTATTAGCCACTTACAAGTAAGCATTATGCCCCAGAAAGGCTTAGATGCTGGTTCTCCTTCAGTGTGACCTAGTCTAAGGTGCAAAGGGCCAGAAACAAAAAATTCTGCCTTGTGACCAGTCAAAGAGGCCACTGAATTCAGAAGGTGCTTCTTCATTGACTTCAAGGGGCTGTGCAGAAACTCATGAGAAGAATCTGAGTTCCTAGCGGTCTGAGCTCCACTGCTCCTGGTTTGGGTTCTTTCATCTCCTCTACCCTCCTTGGTGACACAAAACTCATGGGCTAGATTTAACTTCTCTGAAAAGCCTCACTGTGAGCAAAATCAGTTTCCTGTCCCTGTTGCTGCTTTTTAATCCCTAAAAATCTATTCAGCCCACCCCCTTCCTTCTCCTGTAAAGTTTTTACTTTTTCCTGCACAGAAAACTAAAGATGTAAATTCTTGTCTGCTTTCTGCATAACTTACTCTTCATGTTCCAGCAAAATGCACAGATTCACAGAGAGAGCATCTTTGTCCTAATCTCATCAGTGAGGGGCTCTCATATGGTAAGTGAGAAAATGCAGTTGTTGCTACGGTTTTTGGTATCTAATGGCACAAAGAAACAGGAAGCTTTTGCCAGCTAATGAGACGCGCAGTGAAACCTGTGTAACTCATTTTAGGTAATCTCCTATGTTTCATAGTTTCATAGTTTCTAGGGTCGGAAGGGACCTGAGCAGATCATCTAGTCTGACCCCCTGCCATGGCAGGAAGAGTACTGGGGTCAAATGACCCCAGTAAGGTGGTCATCCAACCTCCTCTTAAAAACCCCCAGGGTGGGAGCCTGCACCACCTCACTTGGAAGCTGGTTCCAGACCCTAGCCGCCCTGACCGTGAAG